GAACTCAAGTGCTTCTTTTATTTCGTATGGAAGTTCATGCTGAAGAGATTCGAAGGTCAATCTGATCATAAGCACCGGCTGATTCGTGCTGTACTGTAGTCGGCATTAATACGACGTTATATGATTAACGAATTCGTTGGAGAATGTCTCTGATCGCATCAACCTGAACTCCGTATTAAGACCAAGCGACCGCATCATGACGTGATTAAGCCGGCGTCTTCTGGCGAGATTAACCTACGAAGCTCTTCATGCATTTCACAACAATCTTGCCTCAGGAGATTCTTCGAAATCCGCATTTAGTACAAATACTTCTTGCAATGCTTAGGCACGCATTTCTATGCTCATTTTCGACTGATTTATAGCTTAATAATTGTATTTAATTAAAGCTAAATAATATTTTAATTTAACTTGTTCTAAAGAAAGTTGTGCAGACTTTTGTGGCAAGAAGATACAAGATTAGATATTATGTGACTACAGTACATGCATTCGAAAGTATGATGCCAAAAAGAATTCCCCGTTTTTGATTTTTTTAAAAACTTATTAATACACCTTGTTATATGAAGACTGACATGTTTGCTAGTAAAAAAGCAGTAAATGTGCCAGCCATTTTTTTGAACCAATATTGTCTGTGGATTTGGGTCATGTTTACAAATTAGCCTTATTCTCTTTTTCATAGCTTTCGCCTTTACTAGGTAGCTAGCAAAAATATTGTTTACTTAGACTATTAAAAATGTCGTACCAGTCCTCTGCTCATTGCTTCTCCATCAATTCAATGCATCTCTGTAATCCTTCTTGGCCGATTGATATATTCCCCTATATGCTGTCACCTCACTTCTTTTCAATCCCGTCGATAATGTTAATTCTCGAAACTAGATACTGGTGACCGGGTCGATTGTCTTTATCTTTGATGTAATAACGTAATCCATATAGTCTAAATTACACCTACTGGCTTTGTGGACGTCTAAACGTGAGGAAAAACGTATTAGAGGACAGTCTCTCTACCTCAAGAATGCGATGCCACTTGTAGGGTACGATTGCTTAGGGGATATTAGTGACACTTTAATTACAATTCAGCTCCCATCCCTTTGGTGTTTAATTTTTGAGCTCATCTTGTCTAACAATTATTCGGACAGGGCTGAATGATTTGCTTCCTATGGGTGTACATTGAAATTTACTTTTTTAGGGTACACGTAATATCCTTATCACAAGGTCAACCTTCTATTTTCTCTTGCAGCTCGATAGTAGGACTCGTTATCCGTGCTCTGGTGGTGCTGCTTCTAATGGAACAGTTGCCCCGTCGTTGATCTTCAACTACAGCGCTCCGTCGCCTCGTCAAGTTGCCCGAACAACTTGTGCAGCTGTCGTTGCTCGCGACTTGCTGCATTTGTCAGACACCACATCATCTCTTTCTGCACGGTCTAATCAGAGTTCCAATGCTGGGGCGGAATCTGAATCCGAACCGCCGCGGCATCGGCACAAGCATCGGCGGTCTCACGTTCAACAGGTGATGACTACTCTGAACTGTATATTTTTTTTAGTAAACTACTATTTTTGAAGACATGAAGACCAAGATGTTGTGGTCTCTGGTATGGTCGCAGTCTCCTTTCGATTTATAGAAGTGGGTTGACCTCGTTGTCGCAACTTGGCCTTGTTTTCAGGAAGAATAAGTAA